GCGGACAGTATCCCCATGATCAATGAAAGGTGAAGATGAAGTCCGGTCAGTCGACCTAACATGTCGAATTTGTAAAGAATTGATTAAGTTTTGTTTCTAAATCGACTGCAATGAGTTCGACCTCATGGATACCCTATCAGGTATTTATTTTCTAGCAATAGAGTCGCCAGTAACTATGTTATCAATCCTCTCTACCCGATTACCGTATTTAGAACATGTGCTTTTTTATACAACTTTGAATAGCAAGCAAGCTGACGGCCCACCTGATGGAAAATGATAACCGTTGCCTATAGATATGAAGAGTACCATGAACATAACAGAGTATACTGTGTTGCTCATGATACCCTTGATGCGTTGCCATTCATGAGAACTAAGGTGTTATGCCTCTGTACCCTGTAATTTCACTATATGTGTTTCGGTTTGATGGGTGGGATATGGCAGTGGCTAAATACCTTTTAAACCAAAAAATAGCTAGCAAACACAATTGTTTCTTTTGCTTTCTTCTTGCTTTTGTACATTTTATAATACCTCCAATAGGTATATAAATATAAAAATCTGTGATATTATATTGCTATAATTAAAGCTATTCTAAATTAATTTCCTATGTAATGTATATATGTGTAGACCACTGTTGTATAACAAGTACGAGTTGCACACTGGTCGTAAGTGGCTACAATAAAGCTCTCGGTACATTAAGCTTCCGCTAGTGCGCCGTTAGCGAGATAACGAGACCCACTGCCCGCCGCACACATAATTTATACCGTCCGAGCTCGTTAAAAACTTATAAAGACGCACATTGTTAGTGTGGCCAATATTCGCGGTTATCCGACGATATACGAGCGCGCTAACGACTCCTTACCCGGCTTGAGCGAGTGCGAACCATTGCGCAAACGACCCTTCAACAGCCATATAAAACAAAATTGTCGATAACTTGACATGCTAAATTGAGAAGGGGGTTCTTGAAGACACAAGTGCTTACCTAAATATGGCTGCTTAATTACGTCAATTATTTTTTTTATAGTATGTATGCATTCCTCGCTGTGAAATTAGAAAATTAACTTAGATCTATAGGTATATATATTTGATAACATATTTTAACAGACTAAGTGAAGACGAAGCCCGCGCTGTTAGTACGTATATACTTTAATAGATAAAATTATACTAAATATATAAGTATAGGCAGAATACTTTTACCCACATCCATAAGAATATAAAGCTATAAGTACGTTTTGTGTGACATAAATTCGTCTAAGTTTGTTATTAAAATGTCAATTTAATCCAACTAAAAAGTCGAAAAATTATTTGTTATTATAAATTTGCGACTAGATGGAGCTGTGATGTGTTCACGACTATTTTCTCACGTGCATTGTTTGTTTGCTGTAGCTTTTTTGCTGTAGCCAGATTTGTTAATTAGAATAATTAAATTTAATTCTATTTACATAGTCAAAAACAAACAGAAACGTTTTTAATATTTAATAAGCAGCTACCTTTCTTTTATTTGGATTTTGTACATAATAATACATAATAATTACCTATATAACAACACCATTGTACATTAAAAGCGATAAAACAGTTTGTAATAACAGTTATGTAAAGTTATTGATCTATGAAATATAACTTGTTTAATTTGAGCATGCATCGTCGTTGACTTGTAGTACCTACCTAAAGAACTAGCCCGTAATGGAAAATCCGTGTGCTGATCCAATCTGCCGCGAAGCTTTTAGGCCGGGCGGTCGAGCTTCGTTTTTCACTTAGCCGATATGCGCGCAATTACTGGCTTTGCACGAAATGCAGGTCCCCCTGTTATTTTGCTTTTGAATAGGAATTATGACTCTGTTTTTTTTTAAAGGCAATGTTATTTACTAACTGTTTATGCTGATATTTTGAAAATATTTACAGAATAAGTTTTGAAATTTTGTATGGAAAGTCACTTATTACGAGTACACGACTGCTCAAAAAGAAGAGTAATGTTATTAGTGTTGTATGTGATGTGATGTAGGTATATGAGTTTCTTTGTTGCATCATAATTTATAAATATACGCGCAGATCTGGATATATAGAATGTCATTAGACCCCATTATTTGTGCTTTCTGTAAATATTTTAAACAAACAAACATATCTAGTTTCGCTAGTCAGTCGAGCACATGGAGAATAAAAAATAAATATTACATAAAAGATATAATAATTATACAAAAGTTGAAACAGGCCTTATTATTACGGCTGTTTGTAATCAAAATGTGGGGTTTGAGTACTAGTAAGTTTATTGCATGTCGTCGTTAGCGCCGGCAGCGGACGCGTAAGCGAGCGCGAACTGCGTACGCGGACCTAGCAGTGTGGGCCGCACGGATCACGGACTCGGCTAAACACAAATCAACACCGATTCTCCATTTGTTAGACACGGGAATGTAATTATGGCCGGAACACTTCGCGGGGTGGGGGTGCACCGCGCGAGGGGGCTCCACGTCATTCAAGCTTTTAGTTCAGTGCTCGACAACGATCGTTACTTTGGATTCGTAATTCTGAAAATATCCACGCGTATTTTCTGAAGATACAACTTTATTTTGTCAGTGTTGTATGTTTTAACTTATTATTGCTTTATTTATTTAGGACCTTTACTTTATTTATTTACCTAGATCAGTATTATCACAATTTATGTTATTGTTTCATACAAAAATAAATAAATTTAAAAATTTCTATTTTATTTAATATTTTCTTCCTTGTAAATTGCATAACAAAGTAATAATAATAAATATTTACGTAATGGTTTTCTATTGTAAGTTTCTTATTAAGGTAATAGCTCAGGGTGTTAAATTAAAAAGTACGGTTATAGCGTGCGAGCGAGGGCGGGTGGTACCGGACCTGCCGTGACACGAGTTAAACTAAATTAATAAACTTGCAGCAGTCTCCAGCTTTATTAAAAAACACTCATTAAAGCAGAGGAAAAGTAGGTGAAGTCGCCGGCGGGGACAGCGCCGCTAATTGCGCCGCCTTTATTGCTTAAATAAAGTTTTAGTGGGGGAACACAAGTTTTAATTAAAAATGTGAGAATAGTTTTTAATAAAGGACGGGCTCGGTGCGCGTATATTGCAAAACTTTGAGCGATACGCTTTAGCTTACAGGAAGTCCGGCTATATTGCTCTTAGAGCGCGGGTGCTCTCGTAGGTCTGTCGCCAGCAGCTGCGACTCTGTAAAGGCATGTTTCTTGATGTCAAATTACTTACACTAAAACCATTTCATGTCAAATGAGCACTGCATCCTTCTTGATTACATTATATCCAGTTGTTTATTATATATATTTATAAAAAAAGATAATACTATATTTCTCGTACTGTATTAAAGTCCAAATTATCAATTGTATATCAAATTTAAATTATCTTCCACTCTATCACATTAAATGCAATTTCTTCGAAGAAAACATTTTTTTTGCATCAATATAAAGTGACAAATGGCACGGGTAACAAGAGAAACTAATAATGCTCGTGATTTACGCCCGCCCTTGTTATTACGACTCATGTGAAATGTAATTTCGGCATACTGCGTATAGTCAGGCACACACACATGCAGAACGAGCGAGTGTGCAATACGTTTAATAAAGGAGGGACGCGGAGTAAATCCTTCAATTTCGCCGGCACACAACGGCGTATTCTCGTTAACCGTGGCAATAAGTTAAACGGGCGGGCCCGGCCGGTGCCCGCGCCGCAGCGCGGTGTGCTGTCCGCTACCACGGACGCGCACGCGTTCGCTTACGTCACTGTATCCGCTATTTGATTAGGAAAAAAGTCTTCAGGTCATATATTATCAACATATTTTTTTCAATTTAAAATCTTTTTAAAGATTCCCTTATTATTTTTGTAAAACTTAACTTTTTTCATTTATAATATCATTGAGAGATAAATATTCTATGTACGTAATGTTCTATTAATATTCCTTTTCTGAGAATTAAATAGATTTCACGTAGGTAGGTAGAATATGTTCTACTTAACAGTGCAACCGGTCGATTTTAATCAAAGTTCGTTCATTTCAAACTTAGCTAGGGAGGCAGTGCCTCATGGTAATATAGGCCGAGTGTAATATCTCTCGAACAAAGAATACACACGTTCCCACCCGGCTTGACTGCACTCCTAATTAGATGTTCGATGAAAGTGTAATCAGACGTTGGCCAGATCCGGGACGTAATTAAACGGCGCAGGCGAAGAGTGATTTATTAATAGAAAAGCTCGAGCCGTAATGAAATACTGGGCGGACAATGGCGGCGAGGGCGGGTGGGCCGTGGAAATTAAATTCTCAGAGACGCGAACATTGCAAGCGCTGGACATAGACACCGCGCCGGACACATGCTAGCCGTTTCTTTGTGGCTCGTCGTCAATCTGCTGATTAATAATTTACACAGCGGCGACACCTTACCTTAGCCACCGGGCGCGTCGATGCCGACGCTGCTCACGGGCGGCCGGCTCCTATTACCCACGATGTATGGAGGAGTATAAATTTGTCGGCAAGGGAATGTAAAGAAGATTGGTTTCCTACTGGCACGGGTGCGGGGGAAAGGGTGGAATTGAATTTAGGCCGGAATCCACTAGCGAGGTAGTATTTGTGATATTTCTTACCTATGTAGCGCGGCGGGACGTGACGCTCTTGCCGATTACTTTTATTATCGATTTCTACGTAATAATTTATACGTACATATACTGTGGTGGGATCCCATTAAATGTTAAGATACACGTGTTGTGTGATCTGAATATTTTAAATATGAATGCAAAATGTTGCATTTACCTAATTAGAAATGTGCTCTACAGAGCAGTCACTCGTATGTAGAGTGCCTTAGCTATTACCGGCGTGAAGACGAAGCCTTAATTACACTTAAAAGCTGTTGTCAGAGTATACTTTTTCAATTAGAGTATTAAAGTGTTCCGACCCCGTCATTATATTAGAGTGTTGTTCCATTCCACCCCGTGTTCGGGCGGGCGCCCTCGGCCCGTGGCGGTGGCGGCGGCGGTGGCAGCGGCGAGCGCTTGCACTCACTACTCGGCCCGCTCGTAACTCGGCTCACTCCGTCGCGGTATCTCCTCGCGAGTATACGTACCGGTTTTGTCTCTTTGAGCCTCAAACTTTACTCGAAGTGCGATACGCCGTTCGTAGGTATCTTATTTCGGCGTTTAAATAAAAGCACACGATATATCAACTCGATTAATCGTCGCAAAACTAATGGGACATTGCGGTGATCGCTTGAGGACATTATCTTTTAGTTAACATCACTTTGCAGTTTTTTACCTACCGGAAACGAATTTACAATATTGCTATAAGTGACAATTGCAGTGGACGAATTCTACTGTAGTGCTTCCTCTATTGCACCGTGACTGTGGATTTGTTTATTGTGAGAATACCAGACTACTATTTTGGAAATACTCATTTGTTTCGTTTGTTTAGTGGGTTTTCTTTTTATAAGGAAATATCGTCAACAGGTATGTAAACAACATTATTATTACTATTGTTGTATTTAATTACATCAGTAACCCTTTAGGAAATAGTAACTATTAATAAAAGAGTCCTAAATCTAATTTTAGGAAAAGAACTATCTGTATTCAAAATTTTATATAAGTTCCTTTAGTAGTCGCGCACTTAAGTAAGAAACATTAACACAATTTCATGTGTTTTCTGTTATTGTGCTTCATATTTACTGATAATATTTATAATATATGCTATCTAATCAAAATTAATATTTAGTTAGATTTTAGTAATTTTTCTGCGGTTATGACAAATTTTTATTGTGATAAATAGAACTTAAGTAATTATTTACGTACGGAAATAGATTAATTAGAAATAACCTAATTGACTGTTAATATAATGTAGGATAAGATTGTAGTAATATAACGTAAATTAGATGCCTGATGCACTCACTTTTATTTCCATTCGTTATATTATTATTTATTATGTTACAAACAAAAATTTAAAAACAATAGTAATAAACTATAAAGTATTTGACTAAATAAAAATATTGCGATAGTCAAATTGTATAAAAAGCGAAAATCTTCACAAATGGAAAAATGAATAGGAAGAAATAGAAAAAGGCAACGGATTTTTTTATTGCACTCTTACAATTTAAATATATTTATTATCAGCGTTTATCATAATTGGATAGATTGTCGGGAATTTAAATTGACACTAAAATTTTGGTGTCAGTCAGACTTGAATTCACGACAGTTGAGAAATTGTGATTGGGGCGTCAATCTCGTAAATCATTTTATGGCTATAAACTATAAGCTACAAATGTAAAAACTATAGTTTATATATATTTATAAAATTAAGTTTTTATATATAAATATAAATTTATATATATTTATATATATATATGTGTGTATATAAATATGATTATATTAATATTATAAAGATGAAAGGTTTTATTTTTTGTATATTTGTTTGTTTATAATAGACAAACATTACTCGACCGACTTTAAAATTTCTTTTACCAGTAGAAACCTACATTATCAGCAAGTAACATAGGATATATATTATTTAAAAAAAATAGCAATTACAATAATGTAACTCAAAGTTTTAAGCATTTGCTATTAAAGCTGATATAAAATACTAATTTATATTCCTATCTAACATGTGCGAAGCCAGGGCGGATCTCTAGTTTTTAATATTACAAATGTGAAAGTTTGTGAATATGTTTCAAATCAAAGACAATATTTAAATGTAACTTAACCAATGCTTAAAACGTTGATCGAATCTAAATTATATTTTAACTAATTCACGTGGAAATTAGAATAGTAGCCTCTGAATGATCCACTACTGGGCACGTAGTGAGCATATTTATTTGTTGTTATTTAACGCGGGGAAAGTCGCAAGTACAATTAATAACTGTATAAAATATAAACAATTGTAAGATTTTGATTTTCTTTGCATATCTACACATTAAGTACATGTCTCTATCAATTTGTGGAAAGTTATAGCAAAATATTAGTAAGAAGTTACTACTTTTATTTACATGAATAAATATAACCTTATACATGCATACCTATAATTTATTCACTTCTGTAGAACAGTTAATACAATATTGTGGCTCTCACAATGTTTATATTTATTAAAGTAGATTAAACACTTAACGATAATTGATCTTCACCAGTTACCTTAATAGCTACGTTCATAAATTTATATCATTTATTTGTTACACATTAAAATGACGCATTCGAGTATTAACAGTAACTATTAATAGCGCATTTCAATCATGAATGAACAGGAAGTTAATCAAGTTTTTGTCTAGTGAGAGTGGGTAATCAATTAAGTCGGCTATGGTTTATCATTTTATTAATTAAACATCTAGGGTTGGCACTCGAATAGATTTTTTATTCTCATATATTTATTGGTATTTTCTTATACATCAATTAGGATTCTCTTTATACTGTTCATCACGGATTCAAGATGCTAATATCGTCATAGTCGTAGAATACTGACGGATCTGACAAAGATTACATATAAAGATCCGTCAGTATTCTACGACTATGACGATATGATGAACCTACTTATACGACACTAATAATATTTGATGGCGAAATATATAACTGTAGGAATAATATAATAAATGGTAAAATATAGACATTTCTAAGATATTAAGAAGAGGACATTGTAAATTGTGTTAGAAAAATGTTTGTAAGTGAATATAGAATGAGTGAAACAATGGACTTCAAATGTAGTAGAAGCTGTTACTGTAGAAACTAATAGTCATACACGTGCTATGCTCTTTACTAAGGAATATAGGTAATACTCTTTACAATTTACGAGCTCGCTCGTGGACATTGCTTGTGGTTATGTGTGTACATGTACTTTGTAGTACACACACACTATCATAACATGCATGTACATACACGTCTATCCACAAGTAAAATCCTTGCACACTCGTGACCTGCTGAAACCGTACATGTGGTAGAGTTTCTTGGAACCCACCTGGGTGGTAATTGAAGCTGAATTGAGGCTCGATTTTCATATAATTCTGTTCTGAGATGAATGTACGTGCATGCTGCATATTCTACACACTGTGGGCTGATTTTAATTCTATAGCCAAATAGCTAAAATAGAACTTTTTAAATTATCTTTTATCTGTGTACATATTATTTACATACATATTATTTGGGTGAGTCATTGATGTCCTATACAGAAGATATGTTACATTGTAATACATAATCTAAAAGCTGAATCCTCTTATGATAGAACATGCTCATAAACTGGATTAAATTTACAATGGTTTAAATACTGTATTGCTTGACAAGCAGTAAACAGCTGGTAAAATTTGAAATAGAACAACTTTTTGTTCTAGCTACGGAACCCCCTTTCATGAATGTTCGACACGCTCTTGGCAGGTTAGATTTTAGATACGTGAATTTAATTTACATGTTGGCAATTTATTTTGTATTCGCAACATACAAGTATGCGTGAGGTTATCACCATACGATATCTTTTCTGTGAAGTGGTGCGTGTCGTAAACTGGTAATTGGTATATTTGATGACTGCCGTAGATAATTGTCTAATTACTGGCCAGTTTGAGACAGTTGATATGTCGGTAAGAACTGAGAGAACAGACGCGCTCACTGGCTACTTATGTCGCAAGAGTTTCTATAAATCTGTAACTACTTAATAAGAAAACAGGTTTGAATAATTCATTATTAAAGTATGCTTAATATATTCATAATTAAGTCTAATGCAAAGTAAACTTAAATGTGTAATCAAGAGACAATGCAGTGTGGCTCATGAGAGAATGATAAAGCAGATTCATGATTAGGTAATAACATCGTATGTATTTAAAATTATAGAGTAATTGTTGTCGTTATTAATTTTATCTACCATTATATTTAGCTACTTACGTATATGCTTATCTATATATTATAATATTAATATTTAGGATTTGGTTAGCATATCTTACAGAAATATTTATCTCTACAGAATATTATTATTACAATAGTAAATATTATTGATATAAATAAGAAATGTATATTAACTTTGTTATTAAATACCGATAAAATTTCACTCGAGGTATTTAAGGCTGTATGCATATTAATTAATAAACTTGAAACAAGTTGTTGCATTTAAGTTGACATTTCGTTTAAATTTTAATTAAGCATTAAATATTCTATACATTTCGATCGCAAGTAAAGATATTGAAGACATAACCAAATAAACGAAGTGAGTGTAAATTATTTAAAAGCTAGTACAAAAATTGTTTACTTAATTTAACCTACATACATATCTACTTATTCATCAATCTGGCCTTCTAGTAGTTTACGGTCTTCGAATTGTAAATAAAAAGAAATCAATGAAAAGGAAAACAGTGTACAAATAAATATATACGTAGCCATTGATTTATTGAATTAATTTATAATATTATAAATATGATAGTACGTTAAATGTTTGGATGTTTGCTATTTAATTACGATTAAACGGTTGAACAGATTTGAAGGAAATTCATTACACGGGTAGTTTATATCCCAATTTAACATATAGCATACTTTATATACTAATTTAGGCAGGGAAAGTCGCGGGAAACAATCAATATGAAATACTAATCTTATTTTTATTTCAATAGCATTATAAAATTATTAATTCAATAAGTGTAACAAGTAGTAGAACTGGAAATAATACATAATATATTAAACAAAACTAAACAACAATCAGAAATAATATTAGGTACACCACTCTAACTTTGTACTAATTAACAATGTTATTTTATTTTAAATATAATCTGTAGTTAACCCATACTCTATTGCATCCTTTTGCATCGATATGGATACAACAATTATTCAGTTTTTGTAAGTCACATTTCTGAATAATTAAATCAAGTATAAAGTGACGTAAATTCGCATTGTAGTATAATATAATGTAACCAGTAGATTAAAGCGTCGTATGCACCCTCACGACCTCGCATAGTGATGCACCACCACGCCTGCTGCTTGTTATTTTAATTATCATGTCTTAATTAAAGTTAGGTCGGTCGGTCTCAACGGCCCCGCGCTTTGTCGCTCGCTCTACATGTCCGTGATGAGCAATGGTCAAATCAACAAACCACATGATTGTGATAATATATAAATAAGACACTAATTATTATATATAATTTAATATGCATAACCTATTGTTATGTTTGTAATTAAAAATAAAATTTGAAAAAAAAAACAGAATATACACGTACAATAGAACAGATCAAGTTATGTTATTTATTGAAGAAAATTGTCAGTATGATAGTTTAATAATGAAGTACGAATAGATGTCTAACAAGTTAATTTCGAAACTCCTACTTCTGTTTTTTAATGGATGAGAATAGAATAGTAACCTCGCTTGCGCTATCGATATACGCTGGCGAGGCATCAGTGAGAGATGACAGAAGAGAGTGAAAGCAGGTCAATTAGCCCCACGTGACGATGAATACCACAAGAATTAACTACGATGGTTTCCAGGAGGAAATACATGGAGATTG